CTTTTACCACAAAAGGGCAATTATAGACCATCGAAATGACTCAGTGGATAAAAAGTTTGCTGCACAAATCCGGAAACCTAAGTTCAATCCCCAGAACCCAGTAAAGGTAGAAAAAAAGAAAGGACTTAACAAGGTTGTACTCTAACCTCTATAGGAATATTTTTAATTAAGATAATTATATGAGGTAACTGTTTATTATATTCATTTATAATACATGACTAGGTAAGGTCACTAGATTATGTACTTTAAAATGTAATGTCTGACAATCATGCATCAATAAAGCTGAAAAACATTCAAGAAGTGCCAAACAAAACATGAATCTCTACACTGATGGGAAACAGAGTAAAAGCCTGACAATCTGAGTTTCATCCCTGGGACCCATGTGGTAGAAGATAACAGTAAGCTTCCACAAGTTTATCCTTTGACTTCTACATTCATCCTTTGGTACAAATGCTCCCCCTGCAATGCAAGATAACTAAGTATAGCAGATACCATCTCATGCTGAGCTTAGGCTGTAATGTGAAGAGATGGGCCCTTCACCTCTTCTCCAACACCTACAACCTTTTCTAACCTGAGAAAACAGCACATAATTCTCAACAGAACAATATTCTTCAAACTAACCAGAGGTGTTTCAAAGTTTCAGATTATGAAAAACAGAAGAAGTTTTAAAACTGTCACAGAGTTGAGGCGATTCAGGAAACAAAGCAACTAAAGCCAATGTGGGATCTAGAATTGAATTCTGGAACTGAAACTTGCCAGTAAACATCTGGTGAAATGAGTTAACATTTTACTAATGTAAATTTCTTGGTTTTAACAAATGCGCCTTGGCTATGTTAACATTTGGAGAAGCAGATAAAAGGTATACAGAAACTCTTGATACTGTCTTTGCAAAATTTCTATAAATTTAAAATTATTCTACAAATTGATTTTTAAAAAGCAGGAGTGGCCTATAAAGCCATTCTGTCTGCCTGCCCTCCACTAGACTGATATCTCATCTACAGCTTTTCTTGAAGAAATATGAGCCTCTAAAACAAAGGAAAACAAGTCTAGCTCATGCCAAGGACCATCTGAGAAACTACCTAAATGTTATATGTCTAAGGACATATCACAAAGACTTCTGAGACAGTAGCTGGAAACTTAAGCCTTTAAAAACACCCTAGATAGTTTTGAGGATTAGTCAGGTTTGAAAGTCCTAGAAAGGAAAACAACAGAGTCTCTTATTAATAGTCAAATAGAAATGTTTATTAACTAAAAGGAGATAACTGTAGCTAAAGACTAGTTTATATTCAGCTATGAATTATACTAAAAGTGAATTTTCAAGAATAATGGTTTTCAACTGAGAACTGTTCTGTCCCCTTAAAGGACATCAGCCAATGTCTAAAAACATTTTTGGTTGTTGCTACAACTGAAGAAATGTGTATCTAGAGGGCAGGAGCCAGAAACACTGTTCAACATTCTCTAATGCACAGACCAGCCTTACTCGGGCCAACCATCTGCCTGAGAATGACAATTGGGCACCTTGAAATGGGTCCAGTCCACTGTTAGAATACCAGTACCAAGTGTGCTTGCTACTCCACATGACCCAATATACTCAATATTGGGAAGACTGAATTATTTCTTCACTGGGGGGCGGGGGTTAAGAATAAGACAGATATCCAGGTGGTGGTGGCACACACCTTCAATTCCAGCAACTAGGGACACAAAAGCAGGTGGATCTCAGTGAGTTCAAGGGCAGCCTGGTCTACAGATTGAGTTCCAGGACAGCCAGGGCTGCTACACAGAGAAAGTCTGTCTTGAAAAATAAAAAAAAAGGATAATATAGAAAAAAATTTAAAGTTTTTATTTTGCTTTCAATTGTTTTATGTGTATGGGTGTTTTGCCTGCATGTGTGTCTGTGGACCATGTGCATGCAATGCCTGTGGAGGCCAGAAGAGGGCATCAGATCTATAGGAGCTGGAATTAAAGCCAGTTGTCAGCCATCACTGAGACTAGGACCTGGGTACTCTAGAGGACCAGCCAGTGAATGCTCTTAACTGCTGAGCCATTGCTCCAACCCCTCCACTGTTTATTTTTATAAAAACACATTCTAGAAACACTGAAAGAACAGTATAAATATCCATCTTCCTTTGAGTATGATCATGTAGTGAGATATTCTCTATGGCACTGATCACGCCCATTGGGGGATGGGGAGAGTGGCAGATGTTACCTGGGGGAACTAAATCCGAGGAGGGAGCTCCTCCGGGAGCTCTCTTGTTTGCAGCATGGGTACAGGAGGGCATCTGGAGGCATCCTTGGGACCAGGAACCTGCTGGTGTTCATCTGTCTATGTTGCAAGTTATTTCTCCCTGAATAAAAATCTATTTGGCCTATCTGTTTCTCCTGATCCTTATTAAACCTCATTATAATCAAGAGCCAAAATTTAGCCACACAGGTTTAAAAAAATTTATTTGTATATTTACTTAATTTTGTAGATGTGGATGTGTGTGGACACTCAAGCCCACTAATGCCATGGTATACGTATGTAAGTCAGAGGACAACTTGTGGGAGTAAGGCCTCTCTCTCCTCCATGTGGGACCCTGGTGCTGAACACAAGGTCATCAAGCTTGGTAGCAAGTGCTTTTACTCACTGAGTCATCTTGCTGGCACCTACATACTATGCATCATGTGCACACACGTGTTTTATTTTTGTTTTGCTGACACCATGATACTTAGCAAGCATATTCTACCTAGCCACAATACTATTTGCATACCTAAAAAAATTGGACAATGCCTATCACCTTCACACTGCCTAGTTTCAAAACTGTCTTTATAGCCCACTTCACATCACTCCCATATCAAATCAAGGTTCTCTCGTTGTATTAATTATTACATCTCTTTAGATTATTTTACTCTAAAAGAGTTCTCTCATCTGAGGAAACCTAGCTAGCTATAAAATATCTTGTATTTTGGACTTGGTTCATTGTTTCCTTATGGTGTCATCTAACTTTCCTATCTTGATTCAGTTATCACACGGATGGAAAAATTTCCCTTTCTCTACTTTAAAACAGAAAAGAACAAAGACAGGAAAGGGAGGAGGCAGAAGACAAGGGAGGGAGCCTATACTCAATCTATTATCTCCCCTTTTTGGTATTTTGTTTCTTTCTTTTGTCTCTTGAGACAGGGTTTCACTATGTAGTCTTGGCTGTCCTGGAACTCTCTCTGTAGACCACACTGGCCTCAAACACACAGAGATCTGCCTGCCTCTGCTTTCCTGATGCTGTGATTAAAGACCTATGCCACCACTGCCCCTTCCCTCTTTTGTGAAATGGTCTCAAGCAGCCCAAGCTGGTCCTGACTGAACTCATTATATCGCTGAGGATGGCCTTGAACTCCTGAACTCCTCTTGCCTCCTCCTCCCAAGTACAGGGAGTACGAGTGTGCTCAGGCCTCTCCTTTTCCACAGATGCAGAATAGTTGTTAAATTGCCTGCATTATTCTTTGTGGGATTTATTTACTTATTTTAATGCTAGAAATGGAATCCAGGTCCTCAAACATACTAGGCAAGCACTTTTGCCACTGTTATCCCAACTTCCATTACTCTTTTTGATCTAAACTGTCCCCAAATTTTGCCAATGCAAACTCCTTCAAGCTGAGTCTTTTGACCTGACATGACTGCTTCAGTCTTTGAGTACTTTCTGTAGGCATCTCTGTTTTTGTTTTTTAATTAATCAATCAATTTTAATTTTATGTGCATTGGTATGAAGGTGTCAGATTCCCTAGAATTGGAATTACAGCAGCTGTGAGCTGCCATGTCAGTGCTGGGAATCAAACCTGGGTCCTGTGGAACAGCAGTCAATACTTTTAATCACTGAGCCATGTCTCCAGCCCCAGCATCTCTGTTTTTAAAGACTAGTTTGTATGGCGTTTATTTCCTGAAATTCTCATAACATATGCTCACTGGTTTTAGTTCTACTTCTTCCAGCAACAAAACATTTTTACTACTTCCATGTGAAGCACTGTATTATTTAAAGCATTGTATTATTTAAAGACAGGTAATGTTTAGGTTGAAGCAATTCTGGAAGACTTCTTTACTAGTATTATACAAATATATAAACCCTTGACTCATTACTGACTTCAACACTAACCCTCACACTTTAGGATATCCACTAGACTCAGTCTAGCAGTTCTATTTCTGAAAGTTGATGAGAGTTTAAGGTTAATTTTCAAGATTTCATGTGAATGTTCCTATGTCAAAATATATTCTGAGGTAGACTCAAGCACTGGGTTAAGTCCTCACCACTACTACAATCACTAAAAATAGGATATGAAATACTGTGCTAACATTTAATGTCTCAATTACACAAAGCATTATTGATTAAAATTATCCTAACCAATGCTTTTTTCATGCACAATTTTAGAATTCATTATAATTTATTTATACATAAATAACACACATACAGATGTGCCCTATCTATAGGTATACCTAATTAACATTCTATATTTCTAGTCATACCAGCTTAGAGTCTTGAGCAAACAATGTCCCTACTCCCAGCAGATAGACAGTACTTTGACCTCCCAAGTCAGTATGCCCATAGGAAAATATAGGCAAGCAGCAGCTCTTTAGCAGGGAACACAGATTCTAGTTCCTCTTATGCATATTTCTTCAATATCTGAAACTTACTGGTGGTATTTACTTACCAGGGTTAATTATATTTTTTCATGAGAAGTTAATTATATGAAAACAGAAGATAATGACTTATATTTCTTCCTTTTCAGTACAGCCAAATCACATCGTTATCATGTGCTTTGTAACAGTACAAAAGTAAAATAGTAATAAAATGAAAACTAAAATACAGAAATGTATACTAAGAACACAAACAGGAAAAAAAGTGAGTTATACAGGGCTTCGTGGGTATTGGAAAGAAACAAAAGAGGAAGAGAAGGCAAGATAGAAGAAGAAAAATGTTAAGAGAGTCAGTCAAGAAATAACCACAAAAGAACCCCAGTCATCCAGAAAATACCTTTGTTCAGGAGAAGAAAATAGTCAGATGCCTTTTCTCGGAAGACCCTTTGAGCATCTTCAGCTTTCATTGACACCTCCTTTGTCTGCACTAGGAAAAACCCCTTACCAACCATCTGTGGAGAATAAAATTTCATTCAAATTTTAAAATGAACTTCTGAGATGAAAACACGGTTTTATTATTTGAGCATTTTTCTGTATACAATGCAACACAGCAGTCTGATTTTGTTTTAGTAGTTTTTAGTAATTCAGACTCTGCTGTCATTTCTTTACAACTATTAAACAGAAGTTTAATTTGATGATACAGTACATGATCAATGAAAAATACCATAGTTCATTAAAATCAACATAATTTGTTAAATATAGTAAAGAAGTTAAAATAAAATGGAAAAATACTACCTCATGTTAATTTTAAAAGTCATTACATCAATTTATATAGTATAGTGCAAGAGTTATAGACCACACATATGGGAGCACTTATTATGTACATGAAGTTTTCTGAACGTGGTACATACATACATACATATTACATTTAACCTCTCATGAGACAAGTACTATCACCATCTTCCTTGTAGAGAAGAGACAACTAAAATATCACATGGTTAAGAACTTGCCTGAGGTTATATAAGTATTAGTCAACAGAGCTCTGATTCTAAATTAAGTTAATGTTATGATGGATTAAAGAATTTTTCTAGGCTGGGTAGTAGTGGCCCATGCTTTTAAACCCAGCACTCAGGAGGTAGAGGTAGGCGTATTTCTGTGAGTTCCAGGCCATCCTGGTCTAGAGTGAGTTCCAGGACAGCCAGGGCTACCCAGAGAAATCATGTCTCAAAAAATCAAAAAACAAAACAAAAACAAAACAAAAACAAAATCCAAATGAGAATTTTTTAAAAATCAGTTACCTACATATTTTTACAAATTTGTCTTTAATTGATTTCAAACATCTTCCAATTTATTCTATAAAATCGGTGGTAACAGCTCTTAATACTTCATGCTATGGTTATATTACTGACTATCACACCATCAAATTGAATAAAACTCACATCCTATTTCAGGACTCTCACTCACTGCAGCCACAGACAAGAAGATACATTAAAAATTACAATAAACTCTATGGACATTACTGCTAGATGTTAACTGTATAAGAATCAATCTTAACACTGTTTCTAATTTTATATATTATTCTTCAACCATCATTTTATAGTCAAATATATAAACTAAAAAGGTTATGTTTAAATGGCCAAGCATGTTGGCTCACACCTATAATACTAGCACTCAGGAGGTAAAGGCAGGAGTATCAAGAATTTAAGGCCATCTTTGGCTACATACGCAGCTCAAGGCCAACACAAGCTGCATAAGATGTTTCCTCAAAAAGAAAAGGGATTAGCTGAAGATACCATTATCTAAAACTAAACATGAAGCCGGGTGTTGGTGGCTCACATCTTTAATCCCAGCAGTCAGGAGGCAGAGGCAGAGGCAGGTGGATCTCTGTGAGTTTGAGGCCAGCCTGGTCTACAGAGCTAGTTCCAGGACAGGCTCCAAAGCAATACAGAAAATGTTTGTCTCGAAAAACCAAAAAATAAATAAATAAAACTAACATGAACTATGAAGCTGTATGTATCTTAATATTTTCACTGAAGATATTTACAGACTCTTTTACATGAGTCATATTTCTGAAGACTTTTAAATAATTCAAGCCTTGTTTACTCTAATTTATCTCATAAATCGCTTCTCGGCCTTTTGGCTAAGATCAAGTGTAATTTATCTCATAAATATATGTGATTCATATAAAAGCAAACAAGTAATTTTGGAGGTGAGCAAACAAAGTCTCAGTAACTTCCCTTAACTGCCTATGCAATGTGCTTTCTGCTTTAACCAGCCTTTCTAGAACACCCAACCCTCTCAAGTTTCATACTCCCTATCTCAGAAAACCATATGTTGTTTGTGAAAACATTACATAAAGTAATTTTGTGCTATTCTTCAGCAAACTAGCGTTGGGAACTTCACTTCCAAGTCTAAGGTGTCCTACCTAATACAGCTGTGCTGTGACAAAAACTTAACTTTTTTTCAGAACTAACTAGTTTCTTTGCTAACTCAAGTATTATTTAAAAGAACATATAATCTCTCAACATAACATTCAGGTCTTTCCCTTTTCCTAGCATCATGGATTGAGTTGTGATGAAGACCCTCAGTGTGTTAGTTGGGCTCCTTATGCCTTTTGTATTCATTAGTGGTTTTGAGGATGCATGGAGTAAACTCAGTGAAAACTCAATCATGTATGAACCAACGAATTCAAATATCACTGGTCACTTGCCAGTATTATGCTGTATACAAAGAGATTTTACACATTCACTTGTTGTGGAAAAAGCCATGTGACTTTTCAGAAAATCAATGAAGGAAGGAAGGAAGGCTTTTCAGAAAATCAATGAAGGAAGGAAGGAAAAAAGGAAGGAAGGAAGGAAGGAAGGAAGGAAGGAAGGAAGGAAAGTCAAGTTCACATAAAATGGAAACGTCTGGGACCCATGTGCATTTTACCCTTCCCAATTAAACGTGGAAACTAACTAGGGATTCTGTGGAGAGGGAAGCTGACTATGAGACTTCAACCGTCTGCAAAGAGTCACCTTTAACCTATTCTAAAATTGTCATCTTAAATGAGCAAAGTTCTTTGTGGCTCATACTTACAAACTGTTTAGGCAGAAGGGGATTTCTTCAAGTTTAAATCATTAATGTTGTCATTTTTAAAAAATAAAGTTTTACAATTAAAAGAGCATGTCAGTTTTTTACTATTCAGCATGTTTCGATACTCTCCATATGTAATTTTCATTTTCAATTCCTTTTTTTTTCTTTTTGTATAAACCAATTAGTTCATTGAACTTACTTATAGAGCATAGGTGAGGCATTACAGGAACACTGGTGACCTCTAAACAACGTCATTTTAACCATTTAGTCCTTAGTTTTGTGCTTTTAGAACTGGACAATTGTAACCAAAGCATCTCTAGTTTAGAAGCCCTGAGTCAACATGCTTTGGGTCCCATTCCTATGCCAAACATCCATCAGCTTTCTTTCATCCCTGGGACAGCACAGCAGTTTTATGTTTAAGGGTTAATACACAGGAAGCTTATCAGCCTGCAAGGATGAATCACAGCTCTGCTGTGTATCAACTAGCTGAATGACCTTTGCCTAGTTACTTACCCTGTCTATGGTTCATGGGGCTGGTTTGAACACTTGGTTAATTCATCTAAATCCTTTTTAACAGTGCCTGACATATAATAAAACTATATATCTAACACTAAGAGTAAGCTATTATTATTATTATGAGTGTAGGAATTTTATTTGGCATTCCAGAAGGACATTTAAAGAATATCACACTTTTAAGTCATATTCTTTCTTGCAAAGGCCATTTCACATATCAGATACTGAAAGTCAAAAGGTTCAGAACTTTGGTGACTCACAAATAAAGACTGTGTTAATAGATTTTTCTCTTTAAGTATGTTAAAATATCTGTATCAACTCCTAATAATCTACCAAAATGGAGTTTAACTTGGATGATTAATCCTTTGAAAATTCTATGTAGTAAAAATTCACCATACAAATAAATTTGCCATATAACCTAATGAAGATTATTTACTTCTGAGATGTTGAATTAGCATGTGTCTAGATAGTGCAAAGGCTACAAGCATATTTTTCTACATTTTACAAAACTTACAGCATGCTTCTTATCATACTGGCATAACAAAAGAAAACATCAACATCTTAAACCAGACACAACGATTTAAGCCACTGGGATGCAGAGGCAGAAGGATTGCTGGACATTCAAAGACACAGGCCTGGTGTACATAGTAAGTTTCAGGTCAGGTAGGGCTATGCAGAGAGACCCTGAATCAGAAAAAAAAGGAGAAAAGAGAAGTCTTAAAATTATACTGTAGCTTCTATAGTTTTAAAAGCTGTACCTCAACTAACTTATCCATGGAGCCCTCAATTAATGCCTGTTGGAAACAGGAGCAAACACCCATACATAAACACTGAGTTGAAGTAGAACCCAGATGCAGATGGAGAGGACAAGACCAGGCTGCAGAAACACATAGAGACAGCTGAACAAGGAGGAGCTAACGGGCCACCAGATTGATAGCTGGGAAGACATCATGGGACTGACTCAGACCCCCCTGAATATGGGTCTCAGCTAGAAGGACTGAGCAGTCTAAGGGACCTCAGACAGTGGAGCTAGGTTGTATCCCTGGTGCACAAAAGGATCTTGCGAACACATCCCCCATGGAGGGATAACTGCCTTAACCTAGAGATAGGAGAGAAGCCCTAGTCCCTACTTCACATGACCTGTCAGATCTACATGACCCGAACTGGATGGCATTCCCCTACATATGGAATTGGGGTGGGGGGATGGGAGGGGAGGGTGGTTAGGGTGCATGTGAGAGGGAAGAGAGGGTAAAAGGGAGGGAGGGAGGGAGGGAAGAAAGGAGGGAGGGAGGGAAAGGAAACTGGGATCAACACGTAAAATAATAAATAAAAAAAATGCTTTAACTCCAAAATTTAAGTTCAAGGACAAGTTACTGGGGAAAAGGATTTCTATTTTTGTTTCCACAGAAAATGAAAAGCTGTGGATTCCTTCCAGACTAATGTGGTTTGATCAAGCCAGACCGCCTGAAACAGAGTACCAGGTGATCCTACATTCAAAACAGCTGGACAAAGCAGCCTTACAGACTACAGCCATGATTTCTGTATCTTCTTAGAATCCCCCATGACAGCGCCCCTTACCAGCAAGAAGTTTGGAAAGAATGACGCCCAAATTCCCAAATATTGTCTATAAATGTTTGTTTTCATTTAAATGGACTTGGTTACATTAAATAAATAAATAAATAAATAAATAAAAGTATAACACACATACACACACACACACACACACAAAAAGCTGTACCTCAAATATACTTTGTAGATTTCAGACATGGGTTCTCTGCATTACAGACATACAGCCATACAGAGGTAGTAGTCACTCTTACCTTTTGTCAACACAATCACTCTTGGTGCGCTTCAACTTTAAAATAATCCCATCAGAAAGAAACTTATGTCTCCTCTAGAAATTTGAATTTTAGGTTTAAACAGATTCCTATTGGATAAATTCTGATAATACATCTTTCTACTGGCACACCTACCAACCAAGGAACTTCTGCTTCTGGAGCCTTAACTTTTCCTTTCTCAAATGCTTTCCAAGGGGAAGCTGCTATGCATTAACTCTTCTCTAATGACCTCATTGAAAGTCACCACTCATAATTCTTGGAGATTTTGACATTCCAATTCCCATCTTAGTCATGTTAATTGTATATTCCAGCCTCCTATCAATGGCGATGGGGCAAAAGAAAATAAGGAGCCCAATAGGATGATACAGTCAAAACAGTGTCTAAAAGTTGTATTCTTTTTGTTTGTTTGTTTGGTTGGTTGGTTGGTTTTGTGAGACAGGGTTTCCCTGTGAAGCTTTGGAGCCTATCTTGGAACTTGCTCTGTAGACCAGGTTGGCCTCAAGCTGAGGAACTCACAGAAATCCACCTGCGTCTGCCTCCAGAGTGCTGCGATTAAAGGCATGTGCCACTACTGCCTGGCTAGAAGTTGTATCCTTAAATGTCATTTCCAATCCCTAACCAATTAAAACTCCTAAGAAATGACCTCAGTACATCATTAGAAAAGGCCATACTTCAATATGCAATACTGTCGTGAGCGTGTGTGGAAATTGTTTATGAAGAACAGAAATCCTTTGAGGCAAAGAACTGTATCTATATGCCTTAATTTCCAGCATCACCTATGTTCTATTATTTCTAAGTTACACCTAATTATAATGTATTTAAACAAAGACATGGAAAACAAACATGCATCATATAATGAATGAAATATGGTAAAAGCATAACCTGCATATAACTGGTGCTGACAAATGCTTATTAAATTGAATTGTAGTAGTAAACAGTCTTGAAAAAGGATTTTGAGGCCCATGCAATCTGCTTCTAAGGAAAACGATGTAGAGCCAAGGAATTGGGAGACTATGGCTTGAGGGTTGCCAGTATTTCTAATAATTAATTTGTAAACAATAACAACAAAACCTAGAAATTCTACAAAGTAGCACGGTCCTATGTTTATTTTTTCTTTCTCCTTACCTCATCAATTAGTTTCCTGGCATTTGCTGTTGTGTAATCATCAGCAAATAATACCACTAGGCATGACTCATCGCTGCTCTTCTGTCTCTGACCCCGGGATATGGGAACAATGCTTCTATTGGCTTCTGTGGAAATTCGTACAGCTTTGAATTCTTCAGTAGTTGGAATAGGAACATAGTCTTGAACCACAGCATTTTCTGGAAGAATGCTCCAATTGAGCTCTCCTGACACAGGTGTAAAATCATGAACATGACTCCATATGTTATTGAAGATACTCAGCCCTGCATCTTTGAATTGGGCTGCTAACTCAGGGTAGTACCACTGAAAACACCCAAACTTGATATTTGTGGAAGATTCAATAATGGGTTGAGTGGCACAGCACAGAAAGACTTCCAACTTTCTACAGTCCCTCACACGGAACTGCTGGCAAGCTAATGTACACTTGCAATCTCTACAATTTCGGAAAAACACACTGCCTTTCACTGGTCCCAAAAAAAGTATGCAGTTGGTGCAGTCATCAATGGTAATGGTAGCTGAGTGGTCAAAAATATAGATGTTACAGTTCTCACAGTCTTGAATGACAAATTGTTGTCCTGCCACTTTTCCAGGTAAGCGACCTACTGTTTCACCCTTCAGCCCGCTGAACATGTAATCTTTTGGATCAACCTGCAGGGACAAAGCACAAGACCTTGAGTATTGTTAACATTATTCACCAAAACCAAATAAGTGCCTATGGGATGCCAGACACGATTGTTAATGCTAAAACTTAACTTCTCAATCTCATTGACTTTGCAGTAAACTAGAAAATGAATAGGACACATTTTTCCCTAGTAAATAAAAAGAATGAGGTAGGAAAAGGGGGAAAGAAATCAAAGTTCAAGGACACATTCACCAAGTGCTTAGATCTTGTTTCAACCATTTCTATTGTCAACTGGGGGTATGCATGCACATACACAAAGCCTAGAACCTCAAGGACTTTTTTTTCATTTTCTAAGAGTAATGACAACTCTGCAATCACAAGTGAATTTAACAATTACTTTAAATAATATAAAGTTTATAACCGTGGTTAATATATATCTACCTCCCAAGAAATGGATCCACTCTTTTTCTGCTATCAAATTTCATGCCTGGGCATGCAAAGCTAAAAGGAAGCCCGTGTGATACTATAATTTGGGTCTTCCTATGAGTTAACTCAGATGACATATCATCATTGCTCTGATTAACAATCTTTCAGCTTATTTGGGATTTGTGTAGCCTCAAAATTAGTACGGAGTGCAAGGATAAATAATACATTTTTAAAAGTAATTATTCTAACAGAATAGCTATGTAAGTCAGGCATGGGTGTATATACCTGCAATCCCAGCACTTAGGAAGCTGAGGCAGGAAGATTACTAGGAGCTCAAGTCCAGCCAGGGCTACAGAGCAAGGGTCTGTTGCAAAAACATTGCTAGGAAAGTACAACTTATATCCTCTGCATCTATCCTTATCAAAACATATATTTCAGGTTGGGATGTAGCTTGGTATTAAAATGTGTATTCAGAATGTACAAGGCCTTGGGTCCATCCCTATACCTGAACATTAGACAATAAAACATACAAATACATACTATTACAGCTTTCTGGTGATTTGCTTTTCCTGGTGCTTCAAATTTTGTAACTTCCATTTCTTTTTCCTACTACAAAATGATATTTGGGTGTAAGTTTCTAAACCCTAACAGAGATTTTCATATATCACAGATAATAGAAGAATATAAGGACACACAAGCCTTGGTATTTTGGTACTTAAATCTACAAATGTTAATCAGACATTGACTGAGCTATTCATCCAGTGTAACTTTTTAACTTTTGCCATCCTATTAGATAGTATAAACTAGGCCCCACACAATCTTAAGTAGTATGCCTAGAATATGTCACATTATTTTTTGTAATTTTAACTGTGCTGCCAATATATAGAGACTAGAAATGTAACTCAGTGATGGAGTGTGCTTAGCATGCCTGAGACTCTGAGTCTGCTCTGCAACACATACCCCCAACACACAGACATACAGACACAGATACACACAGATACACAGACACACACATAGAGAAACACACAGACACAACACAGACACACACACACACACAAACACACACAGAGACACACACACAGGGGAAGGGGAGGGAGAGAGGAAGACAGTGTGTTAATAAAAGGCCAGTCTGACAGTTTAAAACAATAGCTGAAAATATATTAGCTTTTAATCTATTAAAACTATTTTAATTGCTTATGGAAAAATATTTCATGCAAAACTATATACTAGAAACAGGTTCCTATAGATACAGTACATATATTGTTTATTTACAAAGTAACATGTAAGCATGTTAATTGTTTAAATTAGCTTAAAGTGACTTATTCCATCATATACAATATTATATTTATACAATTTTACGTGATGTCCTAGGATGAGCACTGGTCTATAGCATGGGGCAATTTAAGTATGCTAAACATACATTTCAGACAGATTAATAAGAATATGGAAATATGGAGAATGAATGAATCTGAGAAGCTTAGCCAGAAAGGACTGAAGTAGTTAGAAGGGAATAGAAGAATGCATCAATTGGAGAAATGTGGAGGAAATTGAATCAGCAGGTGGGCTGAAGCTGAAAGGTTGGCACTGTGAGGCCAGCTTGGGCTATACAATGAGACCCTAAGAAAACAAACGAAAGAGCAAATTATCTAAGGAGAAGAGGTTGAGGTACTGACTGCTCAGTTGTACAGCACTTACCTAACATCCACAAGACCCTTGATTGTATCCCTAGCACTTCCAAATGAGGTAAACTAAAATATAAAATAAAATCTAAGGAAGTTTTCTTTTTATTTTGAAAACAATCTTATTTTACATACCAATCCAATTCTTCTCCCTCCTATCCTCCCACTCCCCATGTCTTCTCCCAATCCCCATCCACTTAAGGGAATATTTTCTAACACTACTACTCTCAATTATTTATAAGTTAAAAAAAGACCCCCAAATGAAAATCTAGAAATACATGTAAATGGAGTTCTTAATTGATCTATGTAATAAAAACCTGGAGTCAGATATAGAGAAAAATGCTGAGAGATCAGAGAGAAGGAACAAACCACCACCACACCTTACCTCCTTAGCATATCTGAAGACAAGAGAGTGAGTTCCTGTTTCTCCCTGCTTATATCCTGTTTCGGCCCAGCTAGCTCACTTCCTGTCTGTCTGTATAGACCTCTAGGCCTCTATGGTTAGCTAGTGACAAGCTCCATTTTCTGACCTTCAGACAGGCTTTATTTGTACAAGCAAGATATCACCACAAATACAGGATTGGGAGGATGGTTTAGTTGATAAAGAAAATACATTTATGCACACAAAATAAATAGGCTGTTGCAGGACAATAACCAGCTCAGGTCCAGCCTGTATTAAATAACAATACCCTACCACAAACAGGAAAAAACAAAACAAGCCATGTACTAGACCACAAAAGAGCCTCAGGGAGAAAAAGATAATTCTAGTACAGTGACCTAAGTTCAATCCCCAGCAATTATGTGAAAGGTTGGGTGTGGTAGTATAAGCTTATCACTCTAGCACTACAGACAGTAACAGGGTACTGCCTAACATACCTGGAGAATTTCAGGACACCTGCCTGTCTCAAACAAGGGTATGTGTATGAATGTTTCCTGAGGAGTTATACCAGAGGATGTTCTCTGGCTTCCATAGACACATACATGTGTATGTGCACCCACATGCATGTACCTGCACATACACACACATATTTACATATCCAAAAATAGATAAAACTAGAAATATGAAGACCTGAACCTATAATAAGCTTCAATTATACATCTAACAAGTGTAAAATTAACTTGTCCATAAGCACACTTTGAAAAAAAAATATAAACAAAATTGGGGGATTGGAGGGATGGATTAGAAGTTAAGAGTTCTTGCTGCTCCTGCAGAGGACCCAGCTTTGATTCTCAGCACCCACATGACAACTCACAGCTGTCTATACTCTAGTTCCAAGGGATCAAATGCCCTCCTTGGGCACCAGGAATGCATGTGGTGCACAGATATACATGAAAGCAAAACAAATGCACACATTAAATGCACTTAAACTTTTTTCTTAGAAAATGAAGCTGGGTGTGGTGGCACACACCTACATTCTTAGCACTTGGGAGGCTCATGCAGATCTGAGTTCAGATCCTGGGAATTCACATTAAGCCAGACATGGCAACACACATATGTAATCTCAAGACAAGAGACAGCAATAGGAGGATTCCCTGGAAGCTCACAGGCCAACCAGCCTGGCCTATGCAGCATCAAACAACAAAAGACAGTCTCAAATGAGGTGGAAAGCCAGGACTGACACTCAAGGTTGTCTTCTGACCTTCACAAGCACACCAAGGCATGTGTGGGCCCACACTGTGGTCAAACAAATTAACACACATACCCACACCTACACATCCCTATATAAATCTTTACTACTAGTTAAGATTCTTGTTGCAAACACCAACATAAAATTTATTCCTAAATTACTCAGCTATTTTCTTAGTAGGCTTGAGTGTGCTGTGGACTTATGTTCATGTCTTTCCCATTTTTAATGCTACTGGGGACTGAACCCTGGGTATCATGCATGCATGCTAGGCAAGTGCTCTACCACTGAGATATCTCTTCAGTGAACATCTTATTCCTTTACTAAGCAGCCAGAAAAAATTTCATTATATTTTATTTGCATAGTTAACTTCAATAATGATATTCTGAGATATAATAATGGAATTTGTTCAATTTAATGAAAATCCAGTTTACAAAAAGAAGTCTTTTTAAAGAGAAGTTCTTTTTTTATTTTATTTTTTATTTTTATTTTACATATTGATCCCAGTTCCCTCCCTCCCCTCCTTTTTCCCTCTCTCCCACCTCCCATGCCCCCCCCCCCGACCACCCTCCCCTCCCACCCCATCCCCCACTCCACATGTAGGTTGATGCCTTCCAGGACAGGTCATCTAAATCTGTCAAGTCATTTGGAGCAGGGACTAGGACTTCTCTCCTGTCTCTAGGTTAAGGAGTATCCTTCCATGGGGAATGTGCTCCCAAAGTCCTTTCATGCACCAGAAATACATCCTGGTCCCACTGTCAGAGGTCCCTTAGACTGCTCAGACCTTCTAGCTGAGACCCATATTCAGGGGGTCTGAGTTAGTCCCATGCTGGATTCCCAGCTATCAGTCTGTGGGCCCATTAGCTTCTCCTTGTTCAGGTCAGCTGTCTAAAGAGCAGATAACTAAGTTTTAATATGCACATTACATGTTCTCTTAAAATACACATAATAAAAGGCTGGTAAGAGAGTTCCCATCACTCATGTCAGATGGTTTATCAATGAATGGAACTCTAGCTCCAGAGGATGATTCTGCCCTCTCCAGGCATTGCACTCATATATACAAACCCACACTCAGATACTCATATATATACACAATTGTAAACTAAGAAATCTTAAAAAAAAATATATGTAATGAAATATTGAAATCAGAGACAATTATTGGGCAGGGGGAGATGTAGCATCTACTAGTGTCACTGGAGTCACTGGCCCTGGGAGCTCCTCGCCTTGTGAAGAAGCCCAGACTACACCCTGAGAGTGCTTGGCCTTCAGTACCAGTTGAGCTCCAAACTGAATGCCTGTTATCATCCTGACAGCCAGCTTTGGGATTAAACCATCCTGAAGGCCATCCTTCAGTCCCTACTCAAGTTGCCATAGTTGATGCCATACAGACTCAAACCTGCTTAGCTCTACACAAAGAGCACAATCATAAACAACTCAGTATTTGCCGGTGATTGAAGTTTGGGAATGGTTTAGTTCACATCAGTAGACAACTAAATTATCACACATACTTAGATGATGATGAAAATAGCATCTAGCTTCCTACTCACTGCAGATACTTCTTTTTAATAGGTCACCCATCTAACCTCTGAAGGTTCTAACATAGACATTGGTTCCCTACAAAGTCACCCCTTCTATTGATGAAAATTCTGGGAATTATGACCTCTTGTAAGTTGTGCTTGAAGTATATCTCTGGAGATGATCATTACTTTCTAATGTCTCTTCTTAAAAAAAAAATGTTAACCGAGTGGTGGTGGCTCATGCCTTTAATCCCAGCATTCTGAGGCAGAGGCAGGTGGGTCTCTGTGAGTTCAAGGCTAGCATGGTCTACTGAATGAGTTCCAGGATAACCTCCAAAGCTACAGAGAAACCCTGTCTCGAAAAACAAAACAAAACAAACAAAACAAAATAAAAGTCTCTTCTTCAGAACATGCCTTCACCTTGCTAAATTGTGCAGAACTCTTTACCACTAGCCAACTTTATAGGTAAGAAACCGGCAATATCCCAAATTGCACAACCAGACACTTGAATTTGTGGCCTAAGGCTTTAGCTTTAATAAGTACTATGTCTAATGACCATGAGACAAACACAAGTGTGTTCTTTATGTTGAAACCACAATGTGCATACTTAGGCCATCATTTACAGAACTATTTTTTTTTCTTTTAAAGGAGTCAAGATCTCAGTCTCATAATTGACCACACCCACATAGGGCAGCCTGAAACCCAGGAGGCTGGCCCCAAACTCACAAGCACCGATCCTCCCTAGTTGCTAGAATTATAGGTGTGCACCATCATGCATGGCCAAGGTAACTAGTTCTTATTTCTATTATTAAGGAGTTTTAATATGGTTAACTGAAAACTGACAACTATTTTTCCATGCCACCCATCCTCATTTCATTTTTGCTTCAATATTTCCTGCTTTTACTCCAAAGGGCCAGTAAGCTCTTGGAGGGCAAGAATAATAATTTTGGCTCTTCCTTGGTGTTTAAATACATACATACATACATACATACATACATACATATTTGCTTAGCTATTGAATGCAGTGTACAAATAATGAGAAAAGCATTTCTTTCCAAATGATTTAAAAAGAGATTTTGCAATCCAAAAATATTTCTCATGATGTCAGTGTAGTAACTATGTAATAAGGTTTTTTTTTTCCTTTTTTCAGAGTCAGCAGCAATGGAAAATTAATTTCTTCCACTGTTGACTGCAGCATGTAGTTGCCATGACACTACTTAGCCCCAAACATTCTTTCTAATTAAGACAATTTCTCCTTGCTTCAGTCCCTTAAGGCTGACCTAATTACCTAACACAAAACCTAAAACCCATGGGGTGCCTGTCAACTCTTATACTACCTAAGAAAAATTTAAACATTACTTTTCCAATGGTAAGAATATTATAGGCTCATTTTTTAAAATGTCTTACAGGTTGACTAATTCATCTAACTTTAAACCACATATACTCCACAACATTATGAAAACCTAATATATCTCAGTTGTTTCTGTAGGCTGTGTATTTGCATTCAATTCCTTCTAGTGAAAAACAAAGTTTCAAGAGATAGTAAGACCAACCTTAGCAGGAGTACCACAGGAGGGATGGGGGCACAGATCAGTGGTAGAGTGCCTGACTAGCTTTCTGGGTTCTAGTCCCAGCACCACAAAAGAGATTTTAACCTTTATTATATACATACACCCAGAAGAATAAGCTTATTTTACATATCCAGTAACAGCTCTTACATCTCTACAACTATAGTGCCTAGCAATGTTCTCAAAAAGGGTTCCTTTAGTATTATTACATATAATGTGTATGTATAAGTATGCATAAATATATAAATACAAACTACTGAGTCTATTTTTACTGTTTGTGTGTATATGGTTTCAGGGCTGACAACTTTGTATTGGATAAAAAAATGTAAATAAATAAAAAAAAGTTTTTTATTTTACATAGTTTAAATAAAAACTAAAAGTAAAATTTTTTAATATTCCTATTTACCCCAGAAAGTTTAATGCATGCTCACATCTATGTGGTGGGAGAGGGGGCACTTAGGTGTTAATAACCCCTATGCTACTTTTCAGTACTTTTACTTAGACAAATAGGACAAGAAAAATCACAGAATACATCCACATAAAAGATCCCAACCACCAGGGTGTGGTAACACAAGTCCATAATTTCAGTACACAGTAGGCTGAGAGGTAGTGTATTGCCAAAAGTTCAAGGTCAGCCTGGGCTACATAATATGTAACAGGCTGGCCAGAGGTACATAACAGATCATTGTCTCTAACCAGAAGTGGTGATACATGCTTGCAATTCCAGCAATCAGGAGAAGGAGACAGGAGGACCAGACAGTTATTCAAGGCTATCAGAATTATGTGAGACCTTGTCTCAAAATATAATAAAGAAGATCCTGTCACAAAAGTACAATACTGCAACAAGAACAAAATATCCCAACTAACCAGAACTTTGTTAGTAGAAGTTAGCTGTAAGACAATTACTGTGAAAAATGAGCCATAGCCAACCTAGGCTACTGCAAAAATATAAACACACTTGTAGTTTTAGCCTGTGACCTTAAAACAAAAAGCTAAAACAAACCAAAAACAACTCTCTGGAGCAGGAAGTTCAAGTTTAAAGAGCATTGTTTAGTTAGGGATACCACTCAGTGGTAGAATGTTTGCCTAACATAGTCCAATCCCCAGTACTAGGGATAAAAATTTAAACAGCAGTGCTAGAAATCCTAAGGCTGTATAAAAAATCCATCCATCGAATAACTTTGATAGGTACAATCTTCTTATAAAACAAAAAACAGAGCACTTTCCTAAATGACAAAGTACTGATAAAAGAGAAGAGGAATAAAAGGCCACATGGCTCAAGAAGGGTTTCAGAGTCAAAGGTAAAACACTGGGCCTAAGAATTCCACCAAACATTTTGAGGATCTTGTTTATAAGAATATCTAAATACTGCCGGGGATTTGAAACGCTGCAGGATGATTCATCATATCAAAACATTAATAATAGACTTACTATAAAGTATTGTTTTGGTCAAAGGCGTTGCATTAAGCAATAGTTAACTGACACCCACTTAAAAATGGATCTCTCCTTTTGTTTAGGAAGCCAAAATAATAGATGTTTATTATAGTGTTTTAGTAAGCAACTATATTGAGCAGAAATGAAGAACTATGTAGAAAGAGGAACCATTGTGAAATTAATGCCTAAGTAAGTGTGTTTTGTGCAAGATTAGGTGGTTTTTTCAAACCTTTTTGGGTTCTAGCTATATATAAGATAAAAATAAGGGCGTTTTCATTCATATAAAGCAATAATAAAAAACAGACTTCCTGGTTTATGTTAGGTACTTTCACCTTACACAATACATTCTAAGACAGCCTCAATTTTTATTATTCCTTTCCTGTAAACAGAAGCGGTGGGAGAGTAAAGGTGGACATGAAACAATCCATTTAGTAACTGAGTGGCACCAAGAGACACCAAAAGTGATTTGTCAGAAAGGGCAGACAAAAGAGAAACAGCTAAGGAACAAGCAGCTGAAAGGATGAGAAGCAGTCTGGAGTGTCTAATTCGACCAAACCCCTTTGGCCACTGCTGGTGATATGAGCTGATTGGAAATCCAGCATCCTTCCTGCTTTTTCCCTCCCCGGAGTCCATCCTGGGATTGCGAGTCAGGGTGCAGAGCCAAGGGAGAGGCCCTGGGGGTCTAGCTAGGCAGACTACTAACTCCTTTGAGCTCGCCCCGGAATCCTGCGTCCCGACTTCAGCTCCCTGAGCGCGCGAGAGAAAGGCAGTTGTGGGCCACCCGCCTTGCTGCCCGGTTCTCGTCTGCTCCTTGGGATCCCCACGAGGGGCAGCCTGGGAAGACGCAAAGTAGGGAACCCCCAAAACATCACCTTCTCCCGCTGGTCCCAGCTGTACAGCTTGGGCTGCTCCTCCTCTCCCTCAGTCTTCGCCTCCTTCTCACTCTTCCGTCTCTTAGAGAAGCAGCAGCCCATGGCGCCGGCCTAAAGGTCTCGCTAGTGGACCCCACGCGCTCGGACACCTCTCAGAGGGTGGCGGAAACCCAGGGCGACTCGGGCAGCAGCTTCCCGGACACCGCCCAGGAGAGCAGCCCAGCCGCCCAAAACCCTCAGCACTCCTGCCAGGCCTAACACCCTTCTCCTTTTTTCCACCCCTCGGTCGCCTTGACGACCTATGGCAGCCAATAAGCGGTCAGCAGCCACTGAGCCAATCAAAGCCCCACAAGCTGCTCTGCGCCTATGAGCTCAGGCCGAAATACTCATTCACCAATCCAAACCTGGCTCTTAGGTCATCGACAGGGCTGGCCAGCTCTGTTGCATTCACAGAGGCCCCAGCCCCCAGGTCGGTCCTGACCCGCCCCCAGCAACTCCTCTCCGGGGAACTAGGCTGAGCTAGCTGGCTGGTGTGGGACTAGCTTGGGTTCCTTTCCCCTAAGGTAGTGCTCAATGTTCCAAAGTTTCTAAAGTCGAAGCTTTAGAAAGCATGCCATATGGAATAGTAGACTTGTTTTATGACATAAATCGCGCGAGAAAAAAAATCCCTTTTAAAAAATATTTACTTTTATCTCATTTGCATTGTTATTGTGTCTGCATATATGTCTGGACATAGAGGTAGTTGTTAGCTGTCATGTGGGTGCTTCAGTTGAACCTGGGTCCTCTAGAAAGGGCAGTAGGTGCTCTTAACCACTGAGCCATCTTTCCAGCCCCCAAAAGAATTCTTGCTGATATAATAAAAGACCTAAATTTTGATCCTTCACTCCTCCCCTCAGCACCCTTCTCACAGGACCCACAAGCTTCTGGTCAAGCTGTGCATGTCTGGTGTCGATGGAGGTTAAGAAAGGCCTCAAATCTTCTGGTTACTGATAGTTGTAAGCCACCAAGTATGTGCTGAGGACTGAACCCCTGCAAGAAGGAGCAAGTGCTCTTAACCAACGAGTCTTTTTTCCAGCCCCTGAGAGTTTTCTAAAAACTTCCATTTATCTCTCCCGAACTGGACAAGCATCTAGTAAAATAACTGAGTATTGTCTCCTTACTAGAACAGTAGATTTGAGAGCAAAAGGACATCACAAAGGGAAATGTACCTTTGAATCTCTCAGCCTAGGTGCTCAATAAAATGTTTACCACGTGACTTCATGCATCTAAAGACAGAAGCACATTTAACCTTTCCCTTATATCTTCCCAAAGAAAGTGACCCAATTGTGGAGGTGGGGAGCCATGTGGAGTTCTCATAAAGGAATTTTTTGAACTCAAGACATGCATAGCCTATTAGAGAATATAAACCTTGCCACATAAACAATCAGATCTGTTCAAAGCAAATAGTACAAAGAGTGCCTGAATATAAGAATATACACAATTATTAATGCTTGTTGAATATGGCTCGACTTTTAGTACAATGCAAATGTACTGTTTTCATAACATGTTAGTTGATTTCTCTTAGCTATAATATTTCAACATCATGATAGGACATCAAATGCAGATGTTCAGCCTCAAACTTGTTTATCTTTTTGTTTTACCACACCTATCATATTTAGTGTGGATTCTAAATGAGCCTCTGGCTTAGTCTGGGCATTAAGATTGTTCCCTATTTCATTTCCTGTCTTTTTTGCACAGTCAGGAAGAAATGTACAGTGCTTAAGAATTATAAATAACTAGAAATTTAAATTCCAGATCTTGGTCACTAAAGGCTGCTCATTACACATTTTTTCTTCAGGGTCAGATTAAAGTTCTATGTGAGGATATTTTTGGATTAGTACAGAATAAGAAGCTGAGGTCCATGGCAGAATCTGTGACACAACGACAGTAATTGATCAGGTGCTAAAAAAAAAAAAAAAAAAAAAACCTTCCTGTCTTTATAGATAAAGAAATACAGATTCAGATTCAACCACCTCAGCCTTCTGATGTCTATTGAAGCTCTGTCCCTCGGGAATAATGTTCTGCATGAAAATACTACTCAATAAAACTCATTTTAGAGTAATAGTTTCTAAAATTCATTGCTTTGAAATATGTGCTCACAAGAAACTCAAACCTGAAACAAAACTTAAATCACACTGTCACTTTCTCAGAGACCCTCAAATAAAAGTGAAGATTAAGTCTCCTCTCTATTAACACTCAGTCCACTGTCTGTCTAACCTCAAATCAAATTAAACTGAAATTGTAGCTGAATGTGGTGATATATTCCCAGCATTTGAGAGGTAGAAGCAGGAGGAAGGTCAGACCAACCTAGGTTCCTTGAGACACTGTCTTCTCTTTTTTCCACATAACCCTCCAGCCACTGGACTAAAAAAATCTAATAAAGGTATGATTAGTGATGTCTGCTCTCTCTTGCTTTCTTTTTTCTTTCTTTAAAGGTGCTAGGGATTGAACCTAAGGTCATGCACATGTCAGACAAAGTGTTCTACCACTGAGCTATTTCTTCAACATTTCCCTGTACCTTTAGAAAATGCTTTAAATTTTGAGACTGGGTCTGGTTACACTGACTAGTAACCTAGACAGGCCTTAAACTGAGTCCCTCTGTCCCTGCCTCTCAAGTAGTTGAGATTACAGGCCCATGTCTCTCTTTCTTTTACTTTTTTTCTCCCTGGATCTCTTTAGCTCCTCCTACCTAACTATTTTTTTTCAAACCAGCTACGTACTTACTAATAAGCATATACATAGCTGCCAACTGTCATCCTACCTTGAGTTCTTCTGGTTCTTCTGTCCCAGTGTATAATGAACTCCTTATGTGCTAATTCAGACTCTGAAGGGAGATAATCTGACAAGTTTCTGGCCATTTAATTGTCTATAAATTGATGTGTACATGTGTTCTGATTGGTGCAATGGAAGGAATGGGTCCCATGTTATAGAAGTAGATGATGAACAAGTCCTACAAAGGTAAGTGATGGACACAGGCATAAGTTCAATTAATCCTTCTGCCTGGACCCTTTCTACCATTTACACTCCTATTACATTTTTCTTTCTTTCTCTCTTTCTCTTTCTTTCTTTCTTTTTTGTTTTCAGTTTTGGTTTTTCGAGACAAGGTTTCTCTGTCGTTTTTAGAGGCTGTCCTGGAACTAGCTCTTGTAGACCAGGGTGGTCTCAAACTCACAGAGATCTGCCTGCCTCTGTCTCCCAATTGCTGGGTTTAAAGGCATGTACCACCACTGCCCGGCTTCTGTTATTTATTTCTGTGGAAAGCTTCCTTTTGTGTTTGGTTTTATACACATGTTCATCTGCATTACAATGTTGAGTTGTGGCTTCATGCCTAACCTTTATACCTAAGATTGAGAGATAGTTCTGGTTCTCCTATGTCTTGACAACAGAAGTGACATAGTCACTTCCCAGAAGACAGCATCAATAAGTCAATAATTCTAGCGAAGTTAGCTAGAAAATTCCCCATGTTGACCAGACATGTCCTTGTTTACGCTGCACTACCCTGAGGGGACATACTTGACATCAAGTGGAAGAGGAAGGAAGAGAACAATCATTTCAGTTATCTATTGATAACTTAATGGCTTAAAAGTTCTAGTTTTACTCATTAATCTGTATTTTATGCAGGAATTGAGAGTAACAACTTAACTTTGATCCATAGTATATCCGTACCCTAAGCTGGGAAAGCTCTAATAATCATTGATGCAATTTAAGGTCAATTTTGTGATATGTATAGTTCTCCTCTTGTTTAGGTATTGTATTTATAAAGCTCATTTAGAAATGCAATGTATAAATTAGTACAGATATTAGATAGTTACCTATGATAGTCAAAACTTAGAGTTAAGGTACTTAGGTTTTCAAGATGTATTTGAGATGAATAGGCATTCTTCAAACCTTTCAAAGACATACAGAATATGGCATTTAAAATGGTTTAGGGTTTTTCTTAACAATGAGGCACAATTGTTCTTGGCAACACATCTGTGTCAGAAAGGAAGATGGACATTGAACAAACTTGTTATGGAGTTTACTTCCAATATGGTAAGACTAGCCATTTGGACAAGATACTGCTCTTGTCTGGACTGTTTGACTTTTTGCTGTATAAACTGGACATGCAGGACCCACAGAAAAGTGATTGCTGATTCAAGATGGACATTGCTATAGAATTTCTGCTTCATGGAAGAGTCTGCCAGACAGTCTGCAGGACACAGAGAAAAATGACTGACAAACTGCCAATACAAGAAGACAGTTTAAAGTTTCCTGCTTTGCTGAAGAGTCTGCCAGACACACTATGGCCTATCGGCTGAAGAGGGGAGATTACAGAAGAACGTCAGGTAACTGACAAGGCAAGATGTCTCTGTCATTTCTAGAGTTTATATACTATCCTTCTGTGGTCTTTGAAGGAGTTGAAGACAGATAGTTAGGGTTATAGTTTTCCTTAGTTAAGCTTAAAGATAAGTTACATATAGGACTTTAGATTCACAAATATAGGATAGATGATAGATGATAGAATAGTTTCTTTTAATCTTGCTAAATGTTAATGGACTAAAAATTGTTAATTGTGATTTTTGATAACTGTTGTGCTATATATTTTGTTATGTTAAGGTTAATATCCTTCTTTTTATTTAGACAGAAAAGAGGAGATGATGGGAGATGTCATTCTGTAAATATGTTTCTCATACTCTTTAATGAATAAAGCACTGTTGGCCAATAGGAAAGCTAGATAGGCAGGACTAGGAGACAAGGAGGAAAGAGGAAGTAGTAAGGGGAGTCAACATGGAGAGGAGGGAGAGAACAGAACCGCTGGACCCTGCTCTCCAGTAAGACCACGTGGAAATACATAGAAATGGGTTAATAATTTAGTCAGAGCTAGCCGATAAGAAACTAGTATCTGGCCAACAGCATTATATGAAATTCTGAGTCTCAGTGTGTTAATTGCAGCTGGCGCGGCGGTGGTATGAAAAACCTTACTTCTTACACAAAGCTGGTCAGGAATCACTCTATATGACATTTCAGGGCCTTTCTTCACCATCTCTTCAGCATAGTTGTACTCCATATGCTGTGCTGGGCTCCAAAAGTGGGTGATCAAGAGACCTAGGCAAATGCTATAAGGCCAGGTATAGCATCACCTCAGAAGCCACACATCATTTCCACTATATACAATTGGCTACCTGAGGCCCACTGTGACTCATGAAGACTAAACAAAAACAATGAATACTGTAAAGTATACATCTTTTAGGTGTCAACTCAGAGGCTGGTTACT